ATATTTTTTAAAATTCATTTTTAAGAAACACGTCATTAAGAGGCCGTGTCAGTAACCATTGAGATTTACATGGAAAGTCAAAAATTTTGAATTGGGCAAAAACCACCCTAAAATATTTGAACAACAACAAAAAACACATTTAAGACAAATTTTACAAATTTATTCATCATCATTGGTTTCCATGGCAACAAATGTGATTTGTATAGTAAATTCTCAATGAAACATTGTAAAATAATACAAATTTAGACATATTTAAATGCAGAGGGGGGAACAATTGGAAAGTCTTAATTTGTTTTCTTATACTGAAATAATGAAAGATGCATCAGAAGAAAATATTTGTATGTCTGTACGTATTATTAAAAATTTTGATATGGTTGCTATGGCAACCGAAAAATGACAAGGTTTTTCATGATGGGAATATCCATGGAAAATTAAGTTTTTCAAAAGTTGAATACTTAAAAACGCAACAACCGTAGATATTGTATGTCATACAAAGTTAAAGATATATCCCAATACTATGAAATAATAAAATAAAAATTGGTAGTCGGATGTCCCAATTTTTTTTTCAGAAATCAAAATTTGCATTTTTTCAAAACACTTTCAATGGATTTTCGCAAGTTTTGGCAATTTTTTTTTAATATTACAACAGATATTTAACAGTTAGATGCCATATCTACAGAAACATAGTACTTAGAAAAAACTCCATAAAATGTACGACTTTTTTACAAAACAGTAGGAAAAGTAATCTCCATAGCAACGGAATTTATACCCTAGCAACTGACTTGACTAGGATCGGCAAAACATGAAACATACACCCAGGAAATTAAAGCCTCTCAAGTGGAATATTTGGGTCATGGCATCCTGATCAACTGTCAACCCTGTTGTACTTACCCCATCATATAAGTAATAATAAGTACCATTGCTCTACAATGTCTAATAGTTATACAATATAGTCAGAATGTGGACCAAATACGCAAAAACTTGACCATATATGACATAACAAAAGCTGAAGTTATATGTCAAAATGACGCAATGTTCAACCCAAAGGGACTCCAATGCTGTCTACTGGCTAATTTACATTGCTGTACCATGTTTATTATTCAAGTTATAAACCTAAAAACAACTAGAACTGTCCAAACGGGACAAAATAACCCCCCCCCCCCGCTGGGTTTTTCAGAAGTTCTAAATCATGAATATTTTATGGATCGAAGAGAAGAGAGAAAAGCTAAAACATTTTAGTGCAAATGTAATTGCTCATTAATTTTTTTTATAAATGAAACGAAGGTGCAGCCTAAAAATAGACTAAATGTATGGATCACACATGAATTATGAATTTTTTTTTGTCAGTGACCTTGGACTTGCATAAATGACCTTGGTTTAAAGTCATGACAAGTTCTCAGGTCAAAGCAATGTTTGTGTAAAATGGGAACCTTCTAAGTTTATCCATAAGAAAGATATGGACCAGACATGAATTATAATTTTTTTACTGTCTGTGCCCTTGAACTTGGACAATTGACCTTGGGTCAAAGTCATGACACACCCTTATGTCATAAGTAATCTTTGTGTAAACAAGAAAGTATCCAAGTTTATCAATAAGAATGATATGGACCAGGCACAAATTATGAAGTTTTTCCTTTCAGTGACATTAAACTTACACAATGAACCTTGGGTCAAGGTCATGACACATCCTCAATACAATAAGCGATTTTTGTGTAAAACAGGAACTTACCAATTTTTCCATAAGGCAGATATGTACAAAACATGAATTATGAACTTGTTGCTTTTATAACCTTGAACTTGCATAGATAACATTGCATCAAGGTAATGATAAACCCTTAGGTTATAAGGAATCTTTATGTGAAATAGGAACTAACCAGTTTACCCATAAGCAATATATGGACCATGCACATATTAAGAAATTTTCCTTTCAGTGACCTTGAACTTAAATAAACTTTGCTGAAGGTCATAACACACCAGGTCATAAACCCTCTTTGTGTGAAGTAGTAGATTCAAGTTAATCCAAAATAAAGATATGTGCCAAACATGAATTTTACAATTTTTCTTTTAGTGACCTTGAACATGCACAGATGACCTTGGGTCAAGGTCATGACACACCCTTAGGTCATGAGGAATCTTTTTTTAAAATGGGAACTTACCAAGTTAATCCATAAGAAAGATTTGAAACGGACACAAATAATGAAATTTTTCTTCCAGTGACCTTGAACTTCCCCAAATGATCTTGAGTCAAGGTCATGACACACTCTTAGGTCATGAGCAATCTTTGTATGGAGTAGTAGATTCTAATGTTCCTCCGTAAGAAAGATATGGACCGTACATGTTTGCACAGCTAGACAGACGGACGGACGGATAGACAGACAGACAGACAAGCTGATTCCTATATACACCCCCCCAAACTTCGTTTACAGGGGGTATAATGAGAAGTCGTGTCTGTTAAACACAAGACGACCTTATACTTATTCAAATGAAAATAAACCTTAACATCAGCAAGGCTTGTGAAAATGTAGTTTACAGCAACTTTATATTTCAAGTTTTATCTTATTTTACTATCAAAGACCAATCAACTGGTCAAATATCAATGCTCACTAAAAGTATCACAGATATAAATGTAAAACAAGAGTTTTCCATTGAAAATGTGTGTCTCAGGAGTCAGGAATGACATATCAAATTGTGACAGACAGATAGATTGATGGTCAGCTAGTCAGACTGACAGACAATGGAGAAGTGATCCCTAGGAGTCCCCTTGCTATGCAGGCGACACAACTAGGCACCATTACAGCATATCTTGTACCTGATTCTGAGACTGAATTTTTTCTGAAGTGTACAGTCAAATATTTTACAGAAATATTTTGCTAGAAATAATAATATATCGTATAAGTGGAAATTTTAGCGAGATGCAAATTTAGCGATTTCTACCAAAGTCTGGTATTTTATTTTTAGCCAGAAGTAATTTTAGCGATTTTAAAATGTTTACAAAAGAAGCTATTACAAATAATAAGACATTAATTTTTAGCAATATTCAATTTTAGCGATGTCAGCACCCTCTCTAATAATGCCAAAATTAAATCCTCGCTAAAAATTCTACTTATACAGTATGTTCTTCAAAGTACATTTATGCACAGTAAACAAGAAGTATGACACATTTGATTTTAGATATTATCTATTTTAACCAACTAGAGCTAGAGCAGTATAATCCAAGTGTTGTCCACAGACAGATGGACAAACAAACAGGGTGATTCCTATATCCCCCTTCCAAAAACTTTGATATCAAAATCTTAAACTTAGTAAGAAAATGTTTTTTAGTTCACTGCTTTAAGAGCCATATCAGAAATCTGATTCAAATTGTTCATGTTCCCTTCAGCTGTCAAGTCATTTTCTTCACAGTCAGTGTTAGACCTCTGCCTTTTCACCAATGGCATCAAGATACATAATCAAGGTCTTCCTTCTATGTAATGGACTATCTTCATGCTCTTGAGAATCCTGGCATTCAGATGACTTTCACAAGGTGTTTGGAAAAGTTGTCGTCTGAAGTTGATTCCACCTACAAAAGAAAGATACAAAATCAATCCAACTAACAACTTCATTTAAAACAAGTTCATTTTGACACAAATAATACTCATGCTGAGACAGTGTTTCACAGCCCTGAGCCAAAGCTATTCACACCTTCAATGTCAAGGTCAAGGTAAACTTTGATGGAGTTTTCAGGTCTGTATTTCTATATGCCTCATGGAACAGCTTCATACTTGGCATACAATGCTCCTAATGATAAGGTGGTGTGCCATGACCCTAACTCAATGTCAAACTTCAATGCTAAGGTCACAGTAGACTTCAATGAAATTGTCTTATCTGAAATGCATTTCATACCTGCCTCAAAAGCACAGCTTACATGACACAAATGTGCCTCGTGATATCAGTCTTTAACAACCTTTGACAGAAGACCAGGTGAGCAATATGGGCCCATTTTAGGCTTCTTGTCTGGGTTTAAAATATGAAGTTCATAGGTCAAATGGATTTAAGTTTTTGAGTCACAATCCTTTCAAGTTTGAAGTTTCCAGGACATATAGCATTTGAGTTATCTCTCAACAAAGAAATGGATGAACAAAGTGATTACCGGTACTCTTTGAGGCTGGGCTCTTAAGAACAAGCTGATGCTCAAGGTAGTTCTAAACAAGTCAGGGCTCAACTCCAATATAAGGATAAAGTAGTACTTTCATATTCATACATCACTGTATATTAAAGTAATGTTACAGAGTTTATTATTTCTACATTCCACACATGAATTTACTTTCGACCGTGGACAGGTCGACGGTTGACAGTTGACACTTTCCTTGTGTTCTAGTGTCGACCGGGGACAGGTCGGTTGACAGTGACACAATCAGTTGACTTTCAAGTGACACTTTCCGTGTGTTGACCGGGGAAGTTCGACCAGGGACAGGTAGAGGACATCGACCGAGGACAGGTCGGGGACAGGTCGACGGTTGACAGTTGACACTTCCCTTGTATTTTAGTGTTGACTAGAGACAGGTTGACAGTTGACGCTTTCCATATGATCTACTATGGACTGGGGACACTGACCCTAAATACACAGCTATAAATGTGAAACTAATCACAGTTATTTACACAAGACTAACCCTAATCACAGCTTTTAATACGAGACTAACCCTAATTACAGACTAACCCTTAAACTTAATCACAGCTTTAAATACGAGACTAACAGTAATCACACTTACGAATGCGAGACTAACCCTAATCACAGTTATGTATGCGATATTACCAACTGTCTCTTTGACTGTCAACTGTCCCCTATCGACAGTAGAAATTGTTAAATGTCAAATGTCAACTGTCCCCAGTCGACTGTACCGTCCCCGGTTGACAGTAGAAATGGTTAAACAAGCGGTCGACAGTAGAAATGGATGCTGTCAAAAGTACCGAATCACTACTTTTATAAATAAACCTTGCGCATAGGGACTACATACCCTTATATTGGAGTTGACTCCAATTCAGTACATGTAAAAAATTCAGTACAACCCTCTATTTGTTCCATATGCTTGGAATCTGGTTGTACTTCATGGTTATTTGGTAGTTCACATAGCAGCTCATCATCATCATGATTCTCCTGAAAGTATTTCATATCTGTTTACAAATTTACAAGACCCTACTGCATATAGTTGCTGATTCTTTATAATAAACAAGCTGATGCTTAAAGTAATTTAAAGCAAGATAAGTTTGTGAAACAGTATGCCCCCAGCGTCAACAAATATAGAAAAGCTAGTTTTAGCAAAAAGATCAAGGTCTAAAGGTTACTGATGTTGGTGTAATCTAAAAGAACTTAATTAGTGGATTATGTATACCAAATATGATCTCACAGTTCAAAAGTCATGGTAAAGGTTAAAGCTGACAACAGATAGACAGAAAGGACAAACAAAAATATGTTCATGCTCTTTGGGCATAATAATTCAGTACATGTAAAAATTTCAATACAAACCTTTATTTGTTCCACATTAATTGGATCTGCTTGTACTTCATGGTTATTTGGTAGTTCACATTGCAACTGATCATCATCATGATTCTCCTGAAAATATTTTAGACCTGTTTACAAACTTACTTGAGCCTATAGCATATATAGTGACTGGGATATGATATATTAAGACATTAAACTGGACAAAGGGGATACTCCAATACTTGATATCGCGATTACTTAACTTAGTGGAACTCTTTCGCTATGGAGGTAGGGAACGTCTGTTGGCTTGGGACAAATGTGCTATTGAATACAATGCAAGATCGATCATTGTAGAATTTTTGAGGACAGATAAGTAAAAAAATCCTGGTGGAATACCGTCCTTAACAATCGCTGAACCAGCCTAATTAATTTTTGAGAGGAGCTAATCCTTCAATGTTACATTTTTTACGATATTTTTAACTAAGCAGGCTCTTCTCATTAAATTTTCATTGAAAATCATGGCATATTAAAGCTGATAAAATAATCTAAACTTTCCTTATTTGACAATCTACTATTTGGAAATCAATTCTTGGCAATGCATTGTACTTTCGGCATAAAATTGTTCAAATCATTCGATTGTCACTACTGTAAACAATGCCATTGTGCCCCTGTAATCTCGTGAGATTCGAGCTTTCTCGACTCCCCCCCCCCCCCCCCCCCCCCCCGCAAAAGAGTGGTAGTAAGTTAGATAACTGCGAGGTAATCGCGATATTACATATTTAGTCTCACATTTTCAGAATTATCGTATTCAGAAATTGTGCCCAACCTGATCAAAGGCTTCGGAGGAATAGCACCCCACCCACTCCTTACTTTTTTGGGAAGTCAAAATTTCCTGTAGCTAAAATCTATAAATCCTGGTTCCCCTCCCCTCCACTTTAAGGGTCAGGAGCAAATTTTGAAACCAGAATTGAGTCTGTTATCCTAGTTTCCCTTCCCCTTTTCAAATCAATATTAGCAACCTCAAGTTTTATCATCTTGTTTTAGTGTAGCTGCAGAACTGTAGCCCTCCGAAAAAATATATATTGATAGACCTGAGATAATGAGGTATAGCGGGTATGGCTATGAATTTTAAGAAATATTGTTTGAAATATTACTTATCAAAAGAACACTAATACGCAGACATGAGTAGAAATCTACCAATTTGACCTTATCAGTGATTGATGAATATGCTCTAAATAATAAAGTCTGAAATATCTGGCATTTTCCAGTTTTTTTTTTTTTTTAATATTTTCTGTGCCAGGAAAACGTCAGAACCAGCGCCATTACGAAAACTGGAAATTTCGCCATTTCCAGTCAGAGTTGATTTCCCATACTTGGGAACCGCATTAAATGCCGTTGTCACAATTTATCAATGGCACAATGCTTTTAGTACTTAACAATATTAATGAAAAGAAAATAATCACTCATCATTTGATTTCGATACAGGACTTGTATATTTTTTTTTTAATCTGTAAACGCACGAAATGAAAACAAATCTCGACAGTCAGAGAAAATGTTTCCATCGGATCATATATTTACAAACAAACCATAAAAACTATATTGGTAAGTACTAGAGGCATTGTACTGTTGATAAATTGTGAGTTTGACAAGTAATTGCAAGTATCGAAAATACACCCGAGAATGCCGCTGCTTGGTATTCCCAGTTTTCATAAAGGCGCCGGTTCTGGCGTTTTCCTCGCACGTAAAATATAGAAATAGTTCAAAAGCCAGGAAAACGTCAGATATTTCGGACTATAAATAGTACTTTTCAGTCACCTACAAACTCTTGATGCTGTCATGTCCTCTGTAACCGCACAAGACCTGCTTTATACATCTTTACATGGTGTTTTCCTTCTCCGACTTCTGCTGCAACAGCAACTTTCTGTTCTTTATCAGCAGGAGAGTTCCACAAAAGGGAGGTAATCGTTCACGCGTTTTCATATTTGTAGTACATTCTAAATCAAATTATTTGCTATAGAGTACCCAACTACCATTTTTTATTATTGGATTTATAACTTCAAAGCTCGTAGTTTCTATTGCATGTATGGTTATGATAGAGTTTGGTTGCGTTTTCGTGTAAAATATTTATAAAAATCATGTTGATTTTACAGCATTTGGTAGAAACAAAGCAAAGTAGGCCCCAAATGCTTTAAAATAAACATGGGAAAAATTAAATCTCCCATATATATTGAAATTAAGAAAAACATAGTTTGATTCTGTAATTAATTTTGACAGGGTTATCAATAATCAAATTTCACACTTTTCAAGCATTAAAATCACCGTTGCTATGGTAACAAGGAAGATGTGACCCAAATAACTCATGTTTGAAAGGACATTCATCTATACTTCCATGCACCCAAATATTAAAGCAAAATATTTTTTTTCACATTCCACTCACTTTATATACAATACTCAATGGTTACTGACACGGCCTCTTAAAATCATGTGTATTAAATTATATCACCGATTTCATACCATTTTAAGCGTTGTTGATTTACAAAAATAAACCAATAAAAAAAAAGGTTATAGTGTTTTTATTGGATTTCTTTTAAATCAAAATCATTCTGTTTTGTTTTTGTATAGGTATTTGTGAATAAACTCTTTTCATTTTTAAAAGGTATAAATGTTTAAAAGAATGCCTTCAACTTCGTTGTCTGTAATAAAAATGCGCAGTTTGCTTTCACATTCTCAGAATACGAGGGTTGTCCGTAAAGTTCGTGGACAAGCTAAAAACTACATGTAAAAAAAAAAAGCTGTGTCATTGAATTTTATTATTAGCATATTTCTAATCCTTTACTAAATTTTAATTGAAAAATGTAAAATGTTATTCAATTTCAATTGTTTAATTACAATTATGGCTTCAGAATTAGACTTAGAATGGAAACCCAAGGCACCGTGAAATTTAAATTTAAAAATATTTATCACTTTATAAATTTCGTTTGTATTTCTTAAAAGTATACCGATGTCTAAATGATTTTTACATAATGAGGTTGACAGAAGTAAGCACGTCAAACCTGCAAAATTTGCACGTTCAAAGTCCTAAAATGGCTGAGCAATCAAAGTTAGAACATATAAAGATGGATCGGAATTGTTAAAAAAAGGGACGTTTTCGGAATAGGTTGAGCAGTGAGCAGTTATAGAATTCCGCGTACACATCGGAAAATCACATACATAAACCAAGTCATTCTGTAAACGATTGGGAAAACATAGTAAAAGAAGCTGTTCAATAGTACATGTGTATTTAAGTGGCATATAATATTTAAGGACGGGAGGAACAATTTACTGGATGACAGGCGTGAAGGAAAACCATCATTCCGAGATTGCAGTCAGGTGTAAAAAATGAATTTCCTAACGTGACTTTTCCATATTTCCGTAAATAACATCTTTCTTTTCGAGGACAAAGATCGGATGTTTGCAGAATATGAGACAGGCATTGTTAAATATTATTTAACGTATGAAACCTATACATTTTGTGCACATTTTTATGACTGGTTAAAGCGACATATGAAATGCATTGAGTTAAACGGTGACTATGTTCATAAAAGTTACATGGATGAATTTGTAGTGATCTTTTGACGTCGGGTAAAGTCAAGAATTTTCGTTTAAGTACTACGGAAATGAGAATGTGTCTTTTTTTATACCTGAAATTATAACTATTTGTGCTTTAATTATATGTTGAAAACTTGCATATGAATAAAATGAAACATGAATTAAATGAAAATAATAGTTTCATATATTTTATCAATGTCAGTAATAATCAATGTTGTCCACGAACTTTTCGGACAACCCTCGTACTTGCACATTTTTTCTAGGAATGCTAGCATATATAAAATATATTCTGCAAATGCCAAATACAATAATGAAGTATGGAAAAATTTATCAGTTAAGGCCTCAGGTGGAACAAAAAAAATGTACATGTAAACGCATGAATCAAAAGAAGGTGAAGGGTCTGAATAATAAAACAGATTTGAACTTACATATAATGCGAGCAGTTATTTCTTTTATAAATACATCCACATTTGCATATTGTACTAGTTGGTGTACATGACAGTTATAAAAATACATACATATATTAAAGTTACTGGATCGCAATACATATAATTACAGTACATTAATACATTAACTTAAGGATTTTCAGTTAAGGTTATCAATGAATCTATCAAGTGATCCATTACTGTCCTGCTCTTTATGAGTCATGAGCCGATGCAATTGATTATCAAATGAACATTTTTACATTTATTATTCCATATATTAATAACTTTGTTAATTGTTTAATTAACATATCTAAATAGGGTTCAAAACAAATCTTAGTCATTAGGGAGGTACGATGATGGTATATACTTTACAATCTTTCCTGTATACAGTAACCGTTTCATCACAATTAAATTATCCAGAGTTGAGATCTGATTTTTAAGGGCAGTATCTTTAATAAGAAATTAAGTTTAATGGTTATTAGATAAAATTATCTTAACTCCATATAAGTGCACAAATTCTCGAGAGGAATGTAAAACAATATGCAAACAAACAACAAAGAGGATAGATGAGACGGGACCCATGCAGGAACACTGACCTCTGACAAAACACAGCGGATAGTATCCAAATCGTAACCAAATCCAAAACAAAACAAAATGTGTCCATGTGACAAAGTTGCTGACATTCTTCGTATGAAGTGTTCTTACCGGCAATTTCATCCTTAATTGTCATCATTGTGTATCCAAGGTCAAACAGAACAAAGGTCACCGACGAACAACCTGAACATGAAGAGAATGATAAAAGATATATTGTTCTATTATATTAGAATTGATTGTGGAAGGCAATAATTTGGTAACCATACAGCCAAACGTACCTATAACCAAGTACAAGGAAAGGGACACTTTTGATTATTTTGATTTAATGGTTATTTGTTATATCAATTTATTATGAAGTCAATTATAGTGAAAATCATTTTCAATCATTAACATCGTGTAAAAATGTACATCCCTTTTATTTGAGGATTCAATTTACAAAAATTCAAAAACATTTCCAGCTTAACTGATTAATTCCAGTTTAGAAAGATTTGAGAATTTTAATGCATTTTACCCAGATATCTGATTTTATTACTGTTACCTAGTGAACAATTTCTCCTGTAATACTGCTGACAATTCGGGCAATCAGAGGTTGAAGGAACACTGGACTTTGACAGATGACACGTGCCGTACAGTGGAAGGAGATAGAAGGACAGACAAGATGTATCGTCCACAAAGAGCTGCCGACACTCCACAACATCAGAGGCAGTGTGGGTTGTGAGTATTGGAAAAATACTCAGATTAATACTGGTGAATGTTGAAAAACATGACAGGGTATATTTGTGTGATGTACCTTTAAAAAGAGATCATGAAAAGTATACTTGTACGTTGAAAATAATTTACTGTAAAACACTTTTTATTCGCAGAACTTTATTTTCGCGTAATTACGCGAGACAGTATGCTCGCGAAATTTTCATTCTCGCGTATAATAGAATTCCTTAAGGTTATATAGAGCAATGACCAAAATTCGTGAAAATTTTGTCTCGCTAATAAAGAGTCAATGACTATCTCGCGAAAATAAGGTGTCGCGAAAATTAAGTGATCTACAGTATTAGTACATGTAATGCATGTAAATAGAGATGTAAGATAATTTTATTGATGTAAATATAATAAATACATATGTCCTTGTAATATGGACAGGTGTCAATGTATTATACATAAGTACAGAAGTACACAGGCATGATAAAATTGCCTTGCCTGCACAATCCTTTGCAGAAAAAGAACACTCTGTACAGTTTGAACGCCTAGGTACCGAATTCTCTGACAAGCTACAGGTCTCTGTCACAGGATTAAACGTGTAACCATGACAGAAATGGTCAGCACTGCATCTGGACTGACATGCAGAGTAGGATGTGGCAGGAATGGACGACGTAACAGGACGAGGCCTCATAGCTCCCATTGTAAACAGCGTACGTGGTGCCCAGGCAGGTCAATTGTTCAACTGAATAATTCTTTCAAATAATATTGATTGGTATTTTGTATAGTGTTGAATAAAAAAAAATAACTCACAGAACTTGAGCAACAATCATGTATATGTATTTTTTAACTAATATATACTCAAAGCATTTGATACCGAATTCCACCATGCAGAGGAACATCGTACGATTGTGCGTAAGTGTCTCGGTTCTATTTTTTACAGTCATATACAATGTTTTACTTATTTAAAAAAAGATCCGGTACGATATCGATTAAACATTAACTTTATTAATTGTCTATGGAAAAGCCTCTTCTACGAAAATAGAAATTATCATATCGCGCATCATCATAGTCGATGCTGATGTAAATGTTAAACTTTGTTAAAATAAACACGTTCTTATGTTATTTTAATCATCATTTGGTTTGTTTAGACATTTATAATTAAAAAAATATTTAAGAGTTCTTAAGAATCTTGCCAACATTGAGATAATATTAAATTGCAAATTTCACAGATTTGTTTCTCTTTACCCTGAAGCCTGACGTCAATGACGTCATACACGTAGTGTTTGATTTCTCAGTGCAGCTAGATCAAGTAAACATTGGCTACGTCCGTCATAATCAGTTTAATTTCTGAATAATTTAGTCACAGTCAGTAAAACAGATTTTTGTCGTGTTTGTTAGGAGAGATTTTCCGTATTTACATAAGTTTGCGTGTTAATTTTTTCGTATGCTGTCACAATTGATTTCCCTCACTCGGAAAATATAAGCATTTTATCATGCATACGTTTTATTCAACGATGTTATATGCCATATTGAGGTAAGCTTCACCTTGCAATAAATTTGCAGTTAATAGTTGCGATAAAGGACTGACATTCAATCGTAAATTAAGCAATATTTATCGACAAAATTTAT